GGGGTTGTTTCTTGAAAAGGAAGATAGAATTTTTTAAAAATAAAAAAAACTACGACTAATTTTTGCATCTGCTTCTCCCTAGCATTGGGACGACTCCGGAGTCTATGCTGTGGCAGTTAGGCTCTTCGCCGGTGCACGCAGAGAAAGAGAGTTCGATTCCCGTGTGGGGACTTCAATATTACGTGACGTCTCGTGATGGACTCAGGCGCTCGTCAGTAGAACGGACAGAAAGTAAACACCATTTCCCCTTGTTTGGCTATTGTTAACATTTTTGTTTTTCTTATTTTTCATTTATTTATGTATTTATTTATATATTTATTAATTTATTAATTTATTAATTTATCTATTTATTGTGTTTATTAATTCATTTATTCATTTTTTAAATTCATGTATTTATTTTCATTCATTCATTCATTCATTCATTCATTCATTCGTTCGTTCGTTCGTTCATTCATTCGTTCGTTCGTTCTTTCATTCATTATTTCATTCATTATTTCATTCATTCATTCATTTCTTTCTTTTTTTCTTTCTTCATTCATTTATTTATTTCTTTGTTGGTTTTGGGATTTGTACCTACTATGTTTACTTCTAAACAGCGCTACAAATTGATGGTCAATACCTCCTTCTGTCTTTAGCGTTGCTCACTCCCCCCTTGAGGTGAATGGATTTGAGAGTTTGATAATAACCTGGCCTTTGTAGACGTTTTACGCCCCCACTGATACAATGTAGGCATATCTCTATAAGCAGGTGGTCTTCTTCAACTCTGCCTGTCAGGACCAACCCAAGCTGGAAGAGACACAAACAAACAAACAAACAGACAAACAAACAAACAAACAAGCACCCGATGGAAAAACCTGTCTTTAGGGGATTCAAACTCATATCTTTCCCTTGCAAAGGCGCTTCAAGCGCGTTAACTATTAGATCACAGACACCAGTGAGTAAAAGTGAAAGCCAACGAACTCCTAAAAGTAGAAAACGAAAGAAAAGAAAGAAAGAAAGAAAAAAAAGAAAGAAGGAAAGAAAGAAGGAAAGAAAGGAAAAAAGCTACCAAAAGGAACAAAAAGACAATGAAAAGAAGATGAAAGGGGGACGAACTAAAACAAAGACAGAAAAAAAGGCGGCGAGAGGAAGGGCAGAGAGGCAACATCCTGGGTTTTGGATCTTGAGGCAGCTTTTTGCGTTTTGCCGAGGTGTACTAATTAGGCGTGTCTATTTATTTGGAGGACCGTTTCTCGTAGCGCGCTGATAAACACCAACCAAACACAGTGGAGAGTCACTGGGAGGGACTCGATACCTCCTCTCCACGCCACGATGTGTGCTCTCGCAGATTCGACTACTGCAGGGTTAGCTTTTTTGTGTAGTTTTAGTAAGGGTTTAACGGCACTTGCAACACGATAAGGACATGTAGGTGTAAGTGTCGAAAATTAGAGGTGTTACAAGAGAGTAACAAACACACAAAAGAAGGAGGGGAGACAGAGACGATAGATGTTTGATAGGAAAAAAGAAGCAAACCACACCAGAGCACCCGCCAACCACCCACAGGGTTAGCTTTCCCAGATCCCAGGTACTGTGAAATGACAGTTGGTTATTCGGGTGGGCGGCGGAAAAAGATAATGTAAGTTAAAGTGACGCAGTAAACGTTTTTGTTTTAGTAGAGGTTTTACGGCGCTCGCAACTGCATAAGGTCATATGAGCGCCAGAAGATTAGAGGTGTTACAAGAGAGTAACAAACATAACAAAGAAGTAGAGGAGATAAGGATGATAGATCTACGTTTGAAAGGAAAGAAGACGCAGTAAACGAAAATAGGGAAATGAATAAACATCCCAGACCACACAGAATAGATGTAAAACATGCACGCTGATTTATTTTTTTTAAAAGTAGTTTCGTTTAGTTTTAGTAAGAGTTTTACGGCTCTTGCAACACAAGAAGGTCATATAAGTGCGGAAGATTAAATGTGTTACAAGAGAGTAACAAAGGGAAAAAAAAAAGAAGGAGGGGAGATAAAGACGATGGATGTTTGATAGGAAAGAAGAAGCAAACCACACCAGAGCACCTGCCAACCACCCGCTGGGTTAGCTTTCCCCAAGTACCAGGCACTGTGAAATGACAATGATGGTTATTGGGTGGGCGTCGGGAAAAGACGAAGTAAGTAAGAGTGACGCAGTAAACGAAAATAGGGAAAATAAACAAATGTTCGAGACTTGTATATATGTCTATCCAGGTGTCCCAAAAGCTGCATTTGTCGTTTCCTGATTGTTTTTAAACAGGGAGTGTCCCACGTGGGCTTCATCAAGCACTACCTCATTTGATTTCTTTTCCTTCCACGACATTCTGAGCAGTCTTCTAAGAAACCACATTTCTGTTGCTTTTATTTTATTTTCACTATCTCTAGTGCGCACTAAATCTATAACTTTAGTTTTAGTAAGTGTTTTACAGCACTTTCAACACAATAAGGTCAAATAAGTGCCGAAGAATAGATTGCGTGTTACAAAAGAGTAATATACACAAAAAAAGAAGGAGGGGAGATAAGGACGACAGATGTTTGATAGGAAAGAAGGAGGGGAGATAAGGACGACAGATGTTTGATAGGAAAGAAGGAGGGGAGATAAGGACGACAGATGTTTGATAGGAACGAAGGAGCAAGCAACACCAGAGCACCCACCAACCAACCATCCTCAATCTATAACTTGGAATGATTAAACTTTATAGATTTCATTTCTCTATCACTATAAATACGACATGTGTACTCATTTCTTTCAACTACCCAATTTCTGGGTTTGGTGAAATATTCGTGTAAATGGGAACATAGAAATAGGAGTTTCAGTTTGTCTTTACTATAACTATATAAACAAATTTTACAGTGCTTATTCGTTTTAACTACGTAATTGAAGTATGCATTAATTAATTAATTCATTCATTCATTCATTCATTCATTCATTTATTCCTTCATTCATTCGTCGATCCATTAATTAATTAATAAATTGATGTTATGACTCA